GTGGGGTCAGGACCATGGGAGCCTTTGGTTTTGGAGGAACTCCTGTTACCATGGCAACCGCAGGCCCCGTCTCGTCTCTAGGACCACAGGATGAACATCTCTAGAACTTGCAGAGCCAGGGAAGGGGGCAGCAATATGTGAGTGTGGGGCAGCTCTGCTGAGGTTCATAAGAGGGATGGGGAGGAAGGAGGAAATAACGAAGTCTTTGGGGGGCTGGAACTGTCCCTTTGCAGAGAAGGCTGAAGGGTCCTCAGAGCCATCTTCGTGCCTGGGACGGAACGTGTAATCGATGGCCAGATGCCCCCCCCCCCGACCGTATCCACTCAGGACAGGACAAGAGAAAGTAGGCCAAAGCCTCAGGATGGGGGAGTCATCACGACAGCTTCCAGATACCACATCCGAGGCATTTCACGTATGGTCTCCCCACAGCCCTCGAGGCAACCCACAGACCTTCCCAGTTACACGCTCGTGTCCCTGACACCTGCTCCCGTCCCGGCACGCGGCGAGCGGTCAACGGGTGTGAATGGAATTGAACGCAGGCCAGCCACAGACTCATTTCTCAGCTCTCGGCACAGTGTCACTCACACAGCCTTGCTCTCTTGAGCAAGAGAGAGAACGGGGGACTTCCAGAAATCTAACGGGCCCCAAAGCGGGTTATGTTGCGTTGTTCCTATGGTTGAGCTTCCCTTTCGGTGGGAATTATGAGCGGCCGTTGGACGTGGCGATGAAGGGGACAGAAATTCCAGCTGGGCATGCAGGGAGGGGGTCACGCAGATGAACATCCTCTGTCGTGTGACAGGGTGACGCAAGAAAGCTGAAAAGGCTGGATGTTCTCTGCCCTGAGGGAGTGGAGTCCTCTGGAGCTCTGAACTCCCATCAATCGTGTGCTGTCTCAGCTTGGGCTGCTAGAGCCAAATGCCACAGACTGGATGGCTCAAAGTACCAACGTGGTCTCACAGTTCTGGAGGCTGGGAAGTCCAAGGTCAAGGTGCCTGCAGGCTCAGTGTCTGGTGAGGAACCTCTTCCTGGTTCATGGCTGCCCCCCCTTCCTGCTGCGTCCTCATGTGGCAGAGGGACAGAGTGCCTGTCTCCTGTTCTTTTTTCCATCAGGAGGTCCCCACCCTCATGACCTCATCTAAGCCGAATTGCGTCCCAAGCACCCCACCTCCTGAACCATCACACTGGGGAGCAGGGCTTCAATATACAGATTTGGTGGGTTGCGGGGGGACACAAAGGTCCAGTTCATAGCGTGTGCACTGAGTTTCCTCTGTGTCCCCAAGATTTTCCTAGGTAGAAGAGGAGAGAGTGAAATCAAACAAAAACGCCCATCAAATAAAATAAAGCCAAAATCCCAAGTCATTGACTTCCCCTTACATTTTCTTTTTAATTAGAAAAATTTTTTCTTTCAGTTCATTTAGTTTGAGACACAGAGAGACTGAGTGGGGGAGGGGCAGAGAGAGAGAGAGAGAGAGA